TCACCCCAAAATAAAATGATGATTCATCAGGTTTCCTTCATGTATTTCACAAATCAGGCATCTGTTACACAAATAGTGACTGTAAGTAAAGTACGACACAAATAAATGGATTGAAATACATCAAACAAAATTTTTAGAAAAATAATTAAGTGGCCTTTTAAGGATTCTATTTATTTAGTGACTTGGAAAACTTGAGGTTAAAATATTAAAGCTTCATTCCCTTTATCTCTAAATTTGTTGATTATAACTGCAAGTGTTTATCATGAGCATAAAGTAAAGATTTGATCCTACATAACTACTTACAACTTTTCATTTTGTTCATAGCAAAGGGAACTGAAGAGCACTGACCCAAAAATTAACTATAAGGAGAGTTTGAGTGATTTGTGCCTCCATTTTTTATAGACTTGGCTAAGTACCACCTTAACCAAAGACAAACTAAGGTTACAAAGGCTTCTCACAAAAGACATATTAACCCCTGTTTATAACAATAGCAAACAATTGTTATTTTCAAAATGGAATTACAACCCTGGTGAGGATTTGATTTATTTCAAAAATATTTTGAATTAATTTCTTTTTTAATTATACTCTGTATTAAAATTCATGTAAAGTCTGAAAAAGCATTTCAGGTAATACATATGAATATTTTTAAAACCTCAATCGTGAAATAAAATTCCCTGTTTATTTCTCATAGGTACACACAAAACATACACTCAAAGAACAGTATAATTTACTTAACTCATTATTTAGCCTACCACCATAAATGTCTCTTATCAGAGTGAACAATCACATGTAACATGTATTTCAGACACACTTGACACATACAAACAATAGCAAGAATTCCCTTAGGTAAAATTTGCTCTCCAAAGTAGCTCCTTTTCCAGAAAATTCATAGTTCCAATCTTGCCTTTAATTCCTTGAATGCCTTGCATGCCTTACGTGTGCATGTATAAACACATGGACAAACAAATCTATAAACAAAAATCCTCAAGATTCCAGAATTTAAAGTTGAGTAACACACATAAAAATGAAACTACAATCTTCTTAGCTGGTATAAAGAATTTGATTTGAATCTTGCAGCAAAAATGGGCTAAAACTGCCTTTAAAAGTGTACTCTGAGGTGTGTGTTGTTCTAACTGAAAGATGTGAAGGTTCTCAATAAGAATAAAACCCGTGGTGAGCTATGTAAATACAGAAGCAGGTGGAACAGGCTTGTATTCAACCTTTTGGGCATCTCAAATAGCAATAGACTTCATAGATGGAACATTTACATGAGAAAGGCAAACTCAAGCATGTGCCCTATAAATGCCTTAATGACCTGAGTTTATAAAGAAGTTCACCTTATGGAAGAAGAAAAGATGTACACTTTGTATGTTTGTGAAAAGATTGTATAATCAAATCCAAAAGATTATGCAGGCTGGCTTATACTGATTATGGCAACTGTAGCATAAAGACTTTTATAAACCAGCATGTATTAGCTTTTTACTCTTTACAGACACATCAGAAAATTTGTCATGTAGGTAGACACAAATAAATGTTTGAATTTTGAAGCTCTCATTTAAAAAAATTGGAAAAAAGAAAAGGTGAGAATAGACACTTGTGACAGCCACCCACCTCATAATGTCAAAGCCCCACTATTAATGCTGACCTTTCCTAGATGTCATGGCTTTTAAAGTACATTTTTGAAAATAAATTTACTCATTTAAAAACTACTATTTAGATTTCTGCTTTTATATTTTAAGAAATATAACAGAGTTTTCAGGAAATATAGCTTTCATCTTGGCCAATGTTTTTATGGATCATTCTACTGTTACTTGAGGTGAGCAATAACAAAGCAAAGCTCACAAAACAAATCCATGCAGAGTCAGGCCTTCTCTGTCTGTGAGCCTGCTATTGCTGCAGAGAGATAAAATATTTGCCCTTCTACAACCCCAAAGAGTGCTTCTTCCCTAATCCATAATCATTATGCATGCATTGTGCCAGCAGGCAGCTTTGAACAATTTGACTCTTCGGCTTCTCCGTCAAGAGCTTAAAAGGCTTTCACTTGCTCTATTTTTCTTTATTCTTCTACACAAAGAAAATTGCTGAGATACATCAAATACTGGTTTGCTAAAGATATTATCATATGAAACTTGCTTATTCAAACAACATGCTCTTCCTATAAAGCACAGAACCATGACATGTGGGATGACAACTTTGATGCACCCACAATGGGCGGCAATGTATCAGCACACAGCGCCAGCTCCTGTTTAAATGCACATCCTGTCTGATGCACCCTGGAAGCACACTAACCCCACTTTTACAAGGGATTAACTTCCACTGAACTGGTGGAAACAGGATCCTTTTAATAGATGTTCTGCATTTCTTTTGTGATAACTTGAATTTCAAATGGATGTCTGGTTTTGGTTTGGGTTTTTGTTTTTTTCCAAGGAAGATTATCTTGTGTTTACAAACTATTTTCCAGGCATACACTTGTAAAAGACAGGACATATTTTGGCCCAAAGAAATTTTTGAAAAAGTTTGCAAACAAGAAGTCATTATTTAATGCATTCCCTTTTAGAAAGCTTTCCTTTTACAAAACAGTATCTGGTAATCTTGCAAAGTCTGATGATACTCCAAAAGAACACTTTTTTTTTTTAAATCTTTATCTTTTGAAAAATACAGAGACATTTGTAAACAATATATTTTCAAATATACTTTTGTTATAAATATGAGATTATTACTGTTGCAGTTTATTACATTTAACATAAAACCTATTGTCTTCCCAGTGGCAGTGTGTGCACAAACTAATATATTCCAACAGACAAGTTAGGCATGACAGATGAGGAAATGAACTTGGACAAAAATAACTGATGTGTGTCAATGGTCAAAATTTAGTTTGAGGCATTCCCTTTGTTTTCCAGAGAGAAAAGTACAAGAAGAAAGATTCAACTGATGAATCAGCTATTATCAAAAAGAAAAAACAAAAACCAAACAACAAAGTGGCAATGCTAAGGAAATAAAGTTATAAAGGTCTAATTGAAAACTGTAGATAAGTAGGATGTAAATTGTTCCAATTTGCTTCCATGTTGGAAGTATTTGCTATGCAAGAGAAAAAGTCAGTAATTTTTCTCCTGATTCCCACACACAATGTGCAATTTTCTAAGATAATTAAACAACAGGTATATGGATTGTCTTGTTTCTAGCTTTTTTGTGTTGTTATTGAGCTATGCTGAAAGCCTCTCATAGCTAGCACTTTACTGTGTGCCCTTTTTCCAGATGTGAAAACATGGCTTATTAGCCATGAAATATCTGCAATGTTTTTACAAAAGCTGGCTCATGCAAAGGAAAAAAAAAAACACCAAGAAAAAAAGAATCAAAGCAAGCAACATAAGTAGAATTTAATGAGAGTTTTTTTACATTATTACTATGACAAAAACTGTGTGAAGAGAAAGAAATATTAAAAGAAAATTTCTTCTGTTTGCACATGAAATGTCAAAGTGCTCAGCCCCTTGCCAAACAAACGCTAACTAGCACATAAAGTACCAATGGGTTAAACCACAAAAAGCTTTATTTTTCCCCTGAAATTCCATCATTCTGATCTGCTGGGATTTCATACAGCTTTTGCATTGCTTCCCACTTTTGTTCCTCTCTATTTTAAACATAATACCAGATTACAAGACAAGACCTGAATGTGTTGTTTAGCTAGTTTTGAAATCCTAAATAATTCACCCTACAAATTAAAAGAAAGGCTTCAGTCACCTCACAGCTGATTTGGAGCTGCCAAAACTGGCATATCCAAGGAAATACATCTTTTGGATAATGGCTGTTCCTGAGACATTCTAACAGAATTAGAAGTGAAGCAGAAGGAAAGAAAAGGAAGATAAGATCTGGGAAGGAAAAATATGAAGGAGTAATAATGGTAGGTTTGAAAATAAGGGGGAAAACTTGAATACTAGGTGTAGGGATAGTAAAGATATGCTGGTGAAAGGAAAAATAAAAAAGAACACTTTTGATTTAGAAACACAAGTTTTCTAAAGATTTGTTGAAGAATGTTAGAAGATAGCGAGGCAAACAAGTGGTGCTACAATATTGAACATAAAATAAGAAACTTTACCAGAAGTCAACTTGAAAAAACTGTTTAAAGGCATAAGACTGAAACCCAGTAACCTACTATAACATCAGCAGTATGATTTCTTTGCTCAGTTTGTAATTTTTTTCTGATTAGAGTGAGAAGGGGTCTGGTTGAATCAGCACAATTATAAGCCTCTGTAATTTACAGATTTCTGCCTCATTAGTGAATTCAGCCTACTGATATATGTCCTAACAAAGGAAAGCCATGAACTTCAATCTATGAATTAGCAGCATAAACTATAACAGCACCTCTTAGTGCAGTCTCTCAACAAGAATCTTTAGCACTTAAATTATTTGTCAGGATATTGAACATGGCACAGTAGATGAAAGTAGACAGTCCAAATTCTGTATATTAAAAGTGCATTGTGTGTCACAGCTTTAAACACCAGCAGCAAAACTGAATATTTATTAATATTGCAATTTTTATTAAATATAAGCTAACATCAGATCTTGTTCCTATAAAGGCAAATACAATCTGAAAGCCTAATTAAAACATACTCAAGTTGTTTTACAAATCACAAGGACAGCCTTACCTGAAAGCATTTTACTTTTATGTACTCAGCTGTATGGTTTTACTTCATTAATTAATAGGGACAGTACTGAACCTAAACGTAGTTAATTCTAAATTGTATTAATGAATAGCATGAAAATCCACTCTAACAAAATCACAGCAAAGTAAGGCAACATCAGATCTGTATGGCCTGGGACAAAGGCTAATCTGGAATTAAAAGGGATAATATGACTTATGTAATAAGGGGCCCGAAAAAGGACAAAAACAGATGCATATTTATGTGTAGCTATGAAGCTTATGAATATCTTGATTCTCTGCTGTAAAATATCTGTTTACCTTCATCTTGCAGAGGAATTAAGGAAACAGAAATAACACATACCTGTATTAGAGAGAGATCCTCAAGCTTCAATCTGAAGAGGTAGTTTCTGGGGTTAAAAAAATAGCAGATAAAAATGAATTGTTACTAATGTTTCAGTGAAAAATCCAAATGTATCCACTGTTTAAATGGAAAACATAATTAATTACTATAAAGGCAGAAAAAAAATTAGAAGTGACAGGTATTCAGGGCTTCAAATTCTTTCAGAGGCTGTCTTAATATGTAGCCCTTTGGGATAGGGACTTAGTTAATTTCTAAAACAGATTTTCAGTCTGAAGGTCTGGCTGAACATGAATGAAGTAGATATTTATACTGCATGCATGTACATCTGATTCCTTGCTCCACTCTTCCTTTAGAATCAATGGGAAGAAATACCCAGAGGTTTGGCAGATCCATGTCACCAGTGCTGGATGGCTCCATCAGAACACACACACAGGCAGATTAAAGCTCTCCATCCCTCCCCACAAAGATGGGAACCTCGTGCAGTTAGCTCAGCCACATGTATGTAAAGTTTGAAGCACAGGATCCCAGTAAGATGGCAAATCTGCACAAGCCCCTGACTTTTCACAATTTGGAGCAAAGTCTTGCCCTGTGTGGTCTCACTTCTCCACAGCCTAAGAATGTTTTCCCACAGACATCAGGAGCTACATGCAGACCAACCAAGCACAGATTTCAAAAGCCTGTGCATCTATTGCAAAAATATTTCTCACTCTGCCTTTTCTCTACAGCAGCATCACCTACAGACCTTGGGAGGGGTCCACAAGCAAGAAATATTCCTCCTCTGACATTATTTTCTTTCTTTCTTAGTTCTTATCACACCTCTTCTTCTTCTTCTCATTATTCATTTTTTTTCTACTGCATCTTCACAGAAGTAATACCCCATAGTCCTCTTTTTCCTGTTACCTTATTTAAAACAATTCTGATTTTCCAACGCTACTACAAAGTGATAATGTTTCAGAGATGAAAATAATGAAAATAAAATGGATTTTTAAATAATATAAATTACTTCCATCCTAATTTATTCATAACAAATTTGTAACAGCAATTGATAAGAAATTTAAAAATTCGCTTAGAGTAAAAAAAACCCCATATGACAAAGAGATGAGTGAATTTTACCTTTAAATATTTGCAATATTCATTAATTATCTGCAATATTAAATCCATGTAGCTTATAGGTGTGTAATCAAAATTAGAATCAGGCCAGATTTTTTGAGATAATAATGCTAATTCTTTCCCAAGAGGTATGAGGTATTGTTAATGGGCACAGATGGTCAGAACCTGTAGTTTACATTTCTTTTTTTTTTTTTTTTTTAATGAGACAGCAGGGTAGGGGAGAAGAGCAAAACCAAAATACATCTAACTCAGAAAGACAACCACCATGACCATCATAGCTATCTTTATTTATGGACTCTCAGAAACAACTATGAGTATTTATTTATTAACTCTGGTACATGTATGGTCTACTTGTGGCTGTACAGGAACCATGTCACTAGTCTTTCCTAGGAGTATTGCTAAGGAGAATTACTCAAAATGCAGGAGGTGGGGTATTAAGAGCAAGAATCCATGTGAAAGTAAAATAAAGAGAATATTTTTTATTATACAGTTAAATCAGCACAAAGAAATAGCTATAATGCTTGGGTTTGCATCATGAAGAGACCAGAAGTGGATAAGCAAAGAAAACAGTGCTTTGCAGAACAATGTACACACACAAAGCTTCACCAACAAGTTACATGCAAGTGGACTTGAAAGGCTTTCACCAAAACAGCAGGAACTAATGCATTATAGTGCTCCTAACACTTCTACACTTCCTCTGTAATGACAAAAAATACCTTCACTTTCACAGATTGTCCTACCCAGAAGTATTCAGCAGGGAGCATAAATACTTGGTCTGCTCCTCACCTTGGTGCATTTAAACTTCCATCACCCATCACTGTACTACTTTCACTCCAATGTCAAAGAAACCAACTTCACTGCTGGTGCAAAACTTTTTTTCCTTCCAATGAAAATGAACTGAATCCTCAGCAGGTATGAATTGCTCTCTTAACTCAGTAGTATCAGACTCACAGGAATGGCACATAAATGCCCCATCTCACTCTACAAATAAATGCAGTCTCTGTTGCAGAATATGTGAGCAGTCTGGTCTCACATGTTTCGTTTTCGGGACCATACATCATACAGATTTCAATTGCTATGTGTACTTCATCTTCAGATATCTGCTGAAAATTTATGCCTGATGAGGCCTTTTTAGGACAGATTATCAAATTAATAATGTCTTTTTAACATCTTCTATTCTGACATCATTTCAGCCTGTTAAAACATAAGCTATTGTGCCAAACTTAAAAATTCTAAACAAATAAATGCACAAACACAGTGCCGGCCTGAAGAAAAACAGACACTCAACATTTTTCTTGCCTTTTTTTTCCTAGAAAATGAGATTTTTATCCTATTCAGTAGAGCACAACACTTCTACACATTAATATATTCAGTGTGAAATTAGAAAAATTGACCCTATAAGTGTTAGGGAGACTAAAATGTCTACATTCATGCGAATGATCAAGAGGCAGAGCTAATAAGTGTACATTTTTCAGTTTCCTGCGGCTGTCAATAACCAATTAAAATATTTTTAGCTTTATAAAGCCAGCAGAAGGAAAATTGAACAAGAAAAGCAATGTGCAAGAGACAGTAAAAACACCTTAGCAACATAAACTGGGCAAATGGACAGCACAGATTGACTGTGACTACATAAATAATCCTGGGCTAAGTGTCAAACTAGCACTCCGAGAGCAATCAGAGCTATTCCTACCTAGATGCACTCACTTCAGTAAAACTTGCAGGATTTCATTCAGCTTTCCAAATCCAATAGTTTAATATTTTAAAGCATGCATCACTGGCATGTGAGAACTCATTCAGAAAGCACACATATGAGAAAATATCTAAAATAAAATTAAAGAAATGAGCATGACAGTAAAAAAAACACATAGGAAATGTAGTATTAATAAATCTGGCAGTCCGAAGAAAAAGTCATTGCCAATTTTCATGACACGTGCTGAGCCATTATTCTCCTCATGAGACAGGTAAAAACATTTTTTCAAATTGTTATTGAGATTATGCCCTGAACTGCCATCTTTCAACCTCGGTTCAGCTTTATTCCAGTGCACTTATGCTTTGAAGGCAACAATGAATGAGAAAGAAAAATGAAATTACATTTCTGAAGCACAGATACTACCTCTTAGCACACAACCCTGCTTCTTTTCCAAATATGGTGGCAACAAGCAAGACAAATTTTGCACGCTGGAACTAAACTGATTTGACACTCGTGATAATTGGCAAATTTGTTTCCATTTGGTGCTTAATGAATGAGGAAAGCAAATATGTTACATAAATCTGCAAACAGAAGGACATTTAATGAGAAGAAAACACAACTAACACTGAGATAAAGCAACATCCTTTACTCCTTTGGAGATCCAGCAGGCAGTAAGCATTTTGCTTTATATTCACAGCACTGAACAACTCTTCTAACTCAGCTGTTATAATTAAAACCCATTAGTCAAGAGCCTGCTCAAACCCAAGGGTAAACACTTCCACTGGTATCAGTGGGAGCTGAATGAAAGCACACAAAAAGCATGCTCGAGTCACCTCCTTCACAACAATATATTTCAATCTATTGCAGTGAATATGTTCAGTATGACTACAGCTAAAAGTATAAAACTAATCTTCTGTATATTCCTGAACAATCCAAGTAAAAAAACAATTAAAAAATCATAAAGATTCAAAAGTATATCATGTTAGTAATGGTTGTTAAATCCGGCATTTTACCTTTTTTTTGTGAAATTGCAAGCTACAGAAGATGAATGGGACAACAATAAATACTTTTGCACTAAAACCAGACATGAATTAGAAGAACAATAAGATGGCACACACAGTTCAGGGAGACATGGATTCAGGGATTAGGCCTTTTAAAAAAAGATGGCAAAATATAATAATATCACAGAAAATCCCCATAACCCATCCTAAGCCCCCACATGCATTTGCAATTGAAAGCCTGAAACAAGAAATCGGGGTTTCAGCAAACTCAAACACTCGAGGTATGACCAGACATGCTGCCAAATCTCCTGGAAATAAACTAACAAAAGATTACTTCCTGTTCACTTCTTTCAATAAACTAACTCACATGAAAGAAGAAAATTTTATTCAATTCACTGGGAGGAAAAAAATAGTAAGACTGAAAATGTAAAGTATAAACTCCACAGGAGTCAAATATTAAGCAAAATTTCACAATTCCACAATTGAGATGGTAAAGTTCTGGGTGAAAGGCAATTCTAGTTTTGCAGTGTAGTAAAGTCAGCAAGTGGAAAGAAAATTAAAAAAAAAACAAAACTGTAAGGACAAAAGGAGATAATCAATAAAAATAAAACTATAATGTACAAAATACATTTGGTTAAATTATAAGTCTATAGGAAAAATATCTAAAAAAGCCAAGGATGATATACTGGAAATAAAAGAAACCTAGTACAAGTGTTCTAGTTGAATCAATTATGAAAATGGTCAAACTAAAATAACAAAAAGCAAAATGGCCAAAAGTTATATATTATCTTCATTTTGCATGAAATGGAAGCCACAGCAAATGAGAATAATGAAATGAGAGGCTTACTGATAAATGCTAGAGATGTGAAAACAGCATATGCACAGAGATAAATATTTTCTGACTAGTAGGTCTTGTTGATCCATCCTAAAAATTATGGAGAAGTGATTTTTGTTGTTCTTATTGCTCTTTTAAAATAATGTCAAAAATTACAGGTTTTCTTGAGGAATGAAGATGAGCCATATTTTATTAATATTCAAAGTGGCAAAAGGCAGACTCACACAATAATAAGCTGACCAGTGAAACAATAAACATGTCAAAATGAATAAGAAAGTCACTACAGGATTCAATTATGATAGAATCCCAATAAAAATTGAATTAATCCACTCAAAGATCCTGTGAAACCTGATTTCCTTCTCTGATACCTTCTCCTCTGGATTAGTAAATCGTGCTTTGAATCCCTGTGG